TATTACCAATAACAACAGTTAAGGAGAAGTGTGGAGACCTTGAGTCTCTTATAAGTATTATTTGCTTTGAATTAACATTAATGGAATCCAGAAAGTTAACCCAGAAACATTAATGAATACAGTTTGAACTGGTAGCACACTTTAAATATCTAGAGGTGGTCTTACAATTCACAAAGAAATAAGGATCATATATTTTAAGTTTTTCAAAAGGCTCAGATGAGTACTGTATATCAGCTAGGGTTACTTTTAACTTCTCTAATCTTGATAGATAGCCAGTGGTTCCTATCCCAAGTTGCTAATATGATGTCATAAACAACGCAGTACCATAAGAAATAAAGCAAAAAAAAAAGTTAAGACTTTTTCCAAGTAACAGAAAGAAGCAGAACCAACTTCACAACAGTCAACAGGCGAAATGTTGTGGGTTGTTTTGTACATTTCTTGCTACATTTATCAAAACACCAGCTACTTTGTTACACTACCTTTTCAACCTCTGTGCAAAACGCTTCATGGGCTCAGTAGGGATTTCTAAGTGAAGAACATGCCTCAGATTAGTAGATCCTCTGTGTGTGTGTGTGTGTGAGAGAGAGAGAGAATCTTTCCAGCATCGCTGAGCAAGCCAGCTCATGTGCATATTACCATCTTTGTGGGGTCACAATAGCAAGAGGATCAATTGTCATGCTGACCAGTTATAGGGCAGGCAGTGAGATCCATTACTGCGTCCATATACTTCACTGTCTTGTTACTGCAGGCTACTTCGGCTGACTACTGGCTGCCTACAGTTTGGCAGTTCGATTCTCACTGGCTCAAGTTTGCCTCAGCCTTCCATCCTCCCGAGGTTGGTAAAATGAGGACCCAAATTGTTGGGGGACAATATGCTGACTCTGCAAACTGCTTACAGGGGGCTGTAAAGCACTGTGAAGCAGTATATAAGTCTAAGTGCTATTGCTACTAAATATTTTCACCCAGATTTAGATTAAAAAAAAAATCCCAGTGATTTAGGATTAGGCCTGGCAGAATTGTTTGCAATTTTGTCAGAACATATTTAAAGGTATATAAAGGTACATTTCTGCACTCTGATGCTTTAAGAGCAAATGTTCTCACCAACACTCATTTTTTTGCCTAATTTGAGACTATGGGCTTAAAACAATTGCAACAGATCCTCAGTGTAATGAAATGACTAGCAAAGGCATCAAAGGCTAACGAACCATGAACATTTGGCATGGTTGCCAACAAAAGGATGTTTTTTTCTTCCAGCTTCACTGTCTTCTCCAAATGCTTCAGAATTTTGTCATTGCCTTCAGAAGTTGTGGGTGCTCCATCTTTTTAAGAAGAGATTGGACAGCCATTTCTCCAGAATGTTATAGGGTCCCCTGCTTGAGCTGGGGGCCGGACTAAAAAACCTCCAAGGTCCCTTCCAACTCTATTTTCCTCTTCTAGTCGTTCTAGCCGTTCTCCTCAAAAATCATAAAAGGTGAGCCTTGCTTTTCTTCACTATTCGCTTAACAAGTATTTTATACAGAAAGCTTTTTTAATGGATACTTTTGTTTTTTAAGAAGAAATTGTACAATTCAGCATAGCATATTTTGATAGCTGACTCCCACAATAAGCAATGTTTTCAGAGATGTCAGTTCCATTTGTCTTCTCTCATCCATCCAAATATTATTCATAATGAGACATTTGTTTTACGGGCAAATACATAGTAAATTCTACAAGGAAACCAATACTGTTAAAATAAATGTCCCTATTTACCAAATGGCTAAAAGTCTGTACCCATAGCTTATCTGCTGGGTTTCCCCCTGTTCCATTCTATTATGTTGCCTGCACAATATTTCTTTTTATGTCAGCTCATCATCTGCTTCACTGGTTTTGTAATTGCAAACTGTAAAGACTGTTCCACTTTTTTCTTCCCAAACAAGGACCTTGTCTAGCAGGGTCCATGAGAATGTATTCATCTCACTGAGATACAACCCCCTCCCCATCATTTCTCTGAGTAAGCAATACAGCTGTCTTAGAAAGTATGCATATATTTCTAAAATCAAGTTGCTTGCTGTCTATAGGAAGTGAGTTGACCTGCAACCCATGAAATATGTGGACTCTCAACCAACTTTTCTTTCAGCTTTTTCATTTGGGTGTCGCTGTCTATCACACAAAGTGTTTCATTCTATAACTTTTATTACGTTGTTGAACAGAGAAAACTGTCTATGCAGGAAACAGGGCCAGATTTCACCCAAGAGGTGATTCAAGTACACAAGAATTGCCTTTGCAAATTTCTTCGTTGAATTTGCAACCCTGGTGTTTTCACTTATCAGCATAAATTTGACGCTCTTTTTATTTGAATACAATTATCAACATATGAGGCAAAATTGACATTTTAATTAAAGAGAAGAATCTATCTAGTTTTGTCTCTACTTGGAAACCACTTCTGGACTTTGTACTCAAAACTGAAAAAAATGAAACTCTGATTTTAGGTTTTGAAAATTAGAATGACTATGTTGTTACAGAAACGGTTTGGAAGATTTAGAAATGTAACGAAAAGATTCAAGTAATAACTTTTTTGGTATTCTACTGAACTGAAAAAATCAGAAGTTACACCTTTTTTTCTTCTTCCTTTCTTTCTGTAGCTCTCTTAACTTTCATAACTTTTATTTCTGTTTGTATTTTATCTTATACAGGTAGCCGTCGACTTACGACCACAATTGAGCCCAACGTTTCTGTTGTTAAGTGAAACATTTGTTAAATGAGTTTTGTCCCACTTTATTTCTTGCCACAGTTGTTAAGTGAATCACTGAAGTTGTTAAGTGAATTTGGATTCCCCATTGACTTTGCTTGTCAGAATGTCGCAAAAGGTGATCACATGACCTTGGGACACAGCAGTGGTCATAAATATGAAGCAGTTGCCAAGCATCTGAATTTTGATCACATGATCATGGGGATACTACTAAGATCATAACTGAAAAATAGTCAAAAGTCACATTTTTCAATGCTGTTGTTAACTTTAAATGGTTACTAAATGAACTGCTGTAAGTCGAGGACTATCTGTAATTAAATTTAATCAAGTATTATTTAAAAAACCATCAACATTTGACTTGCCACTATAAATAAAAGAAAATATGTTGGTAGGCCTTCTATAGGTTTCCACTGAATGAATGGATCTAGGAAGCATCTTAATTTTTTTCTTAACAAACTGCACTGCAGAAAGTTTTGATTATGGATTACCAATTAAAACACACATTTGCAAAGTACAAATTTAAGGGGGAAAAAGTTGTACCAATATTCTGAATTCAGTGTATTCTTGACTAGAGTTTTAAACATTTAAACCATTTTGCCCAGATAGGTGTCTGTCAAGAAAGTTCAATTTCCTAATGCAGGTTCTAAAATATTGCAGTACCTGAACAGATGCATGGGTGAACACGAAAATTATTGCGCCTCAAACATGTTGCATTCACACGAGGCAAGACTTCTGCAATTTCTGTTGTTGCCACTTGATGGCCAGGTTAGGTATGGGAATTGGAATATGGGTACTTTTCTGGTTAGAGGATGTGCCTCGTTCCTACACTAAATTTAGTAGACTAGAACCAGAATGTCTAATCATTCTTAATGTCTAATCTGACTGCTTTATTTTGGTATTCAACTTCACTGAGAGAACTGAGTATTGGATCAGGTGGATCCAATCAAGCAAAGCTCTTATTATTAGGTAGATGTAATACTCTGGAGTCAAAGCAGAAAAAAATATAGTACTTTGGAATAAGCCTGTAAGTCCATGTCTCACCTGTCGGTGCCAAGGAAAATACATGTTTGAGTTAAAGAGGCATCAACNNNCCAACTTTATTAAAATGAGTGTCAACACAATACTGAGGCTAATGTACTTGGTCAACACTGGGGAGACCCTGGTTCAAATCCACTCTCAAGTTCTTAAAGGTGAACTTGGGCCAGTCATTACCTCTGAGCAGGGTTTGTATGTGAAGGGAAGAAGGGATACACTGTCTTCTCTTGTAATTGAATAGAAGTGCATAGCAAACACTGTAAAAAAAAAGTACTACTGCATATAAAATTACTTCCCCAAATTTAATACATGTAGTGTAATCTGCATCCCGTTCATAATTTAGTCAACAGAATTTCTCCCGCTACTTTCAACAAAGTATTTTCCAAAACACGGCCACAAGGCAGCAACCAAGAGCCCACCAAACTTTTCAACGGAGGAGGCAAAAGATCTGGAAGGTAGGAAAACATAATGCAAACAGCAGAGAAAACTAGGAAGGTAAAAAAAAAAAAATCAATCCCTCCAATCTACCCTCTTCCATCCTTTATAGCTTCCAGTCCATTCAGTGTTTCTCAACCTTGTAGGGTTGCCAGGTGTCCACTATTTGAGTGGACAGTCCACTTTTTTCAGATTATATGTTCACTATTTTTTTTCACAAAATAGTGGACATTTTTTTTATTCAAAAGCTTTATGATGAAATGGTACGTAATCTAAAGCTGTACAGTCTACTTTTTTTACTACTTAACACCCCCCCCCCGCTTGTCCGCTATATTTTGGAAACAGACCTGGCAACCCTACAACCTTGACAATTTTAAGGCATGTGGACTTCAACTCCCAGAATTCCACAGCCAGCAATGCTGGCTGTGGAATTCTGGGAGTTGAAGTCCACATGCCTTAAAATTGTCAAGGTTGAGAAACACTGTTAAGACTTAGGTAAAGCAAAAAAAGAGAGTTTGCAAACCGAACGAAATAAAGCAACTGATGATTTGCACTTTCGAAGGGATACTGGGCAACGCGCTACATCCTAACCCTCCCAACCCCGCATCACACCAGCCACACTACACAACTACTCGCTGATGTGCATCTGCTACTCAAAAGGCGAGGAACCCCGCCGAGCAAAGCAGCCGATTCTCGCTTCCGGGTTTTTTTTTTTGCACTGCTACATCGCCCTAACCAAAGAAGAGACAAAGGAGGGAAAGGAAGGAGAGATTCGGGGCAAGGGAGCTTTCGTTACGGTTACCAGGCGTCTAGATTATCCAGGGTTATCCCGTCCTCCTCCGGCCGGTAGGGATGAAGAGATATCGCGATAGGTCTACAAGAGAAGGAGGGGGGGGTGGACTCGGAGGCGGAAGCAATTCCAATCCGACAGGGGGCCAGCCGCAAGTGACGCATGCGCTAACACCCGGTCCGAAACAAAGAGGCGGTGCCTCTAGCCGCGGTAGGTTCGGTCATAGAAGCGCGTCCCATTTTGGCCTCCTGATTGGTGCGTTAACAAGAGGGCGTGGCCGGAAAGCCAACCAAATAAAGGGGCGATAGACACATAAACGCTTAGAGGTGCGGTTTGGCTTCGGGGGAAAAGGTGGAGGGTTGCGTTGGCGGCGGAGACCGGCTTCTCATCTCAAATGCCGGTTTAGTGGAAGAGAATGAGAGTTTCTCACCACAAGCCCGAATCGAAGCAGCGGTAACCGTGACCGTGTATCCCAAACCCTGGCTTGGAGGCCAGGACTTCCGGATCCCTTACGGTAAACATCTATTGAACTTGTACAGATTCCAGACCGCAAAACACCGGTAAAAAAAAAAAAAAATGGCGTTCATCTGAATCGGGTGCTCGGTTTGCAATCCCGAGTTTTTGCTGCTTGGTTGCATTGATATTCTGTCCGTCCTCCTCCTCCTCCTCCCTTCACGCCCCGATCAGCAAGGCGAAGGGATTCTCCCGGCGGCTGCAATTGCAAAGCGCCGCGTGTAGCCGCTCTTGCTCCGGTTTGCCCATCCGGAGTGGGACCACCTAGGTCTGGGGGCTAGGCAGCCGAATCTGCTGGCGCCAGTCTGTTAGCATTAATCCCCCTCAACTGAGAATTAAGGGAGGTAAGATCGGGATGAGTTTCCGTTTCTCGCCGTGTGTGGCTGGAGTGGTTTGTTTAAACTGCAATGCGGTGTGAGTTTAGTGATCCAGATTGGTGGCTTAACTGGGCAAAATGATGCACCATTGGGCAAGCT